CACTTCTGTCCAAACGCCATTAGGTTGCTTGTAGGTTTCATCATGGGATGTCGAGCTAGACTCGACCCTGAGCTTTGCTTCTAATGTCTCTGGATGAAACCTCTTGGAACTTCATATTATTTGTCTAAATGCCACGGTGCACGCTTCCTCAGCCAGCCTCAATCCAAAGTCCATAACTAGAAAAACAAATTTTGCTTTGTTCGTCCGCCACCCAACACATTCAATTTTTCGCCTGAATGGTTGCATGAGCTACCCGGCCAACGGACAGCGTAATGCGACCTAAGCTTAGTAGAACTCACATCTACGGAAATGATGTACTGCTATCACCAAGGGAATAAGTAACAAGCCTAAACTTGTCTCGTTCCATGTTACAACAGAATTTTCAGAATTTACACCACACAATAGCTACATCATGTATGACATTGTAATTTTTTTTTTTTTTTTGTGCTCAAAATATAACAAATCGGCAAACAGGGCATTTTCCCTGAATCTTGACCCACGGCACGATACAATCCTCGTGAAACATGTGGTTGCAAGGCGTGATCGTCACAAACTGCTTGCTATCGAAATCGTCCAAACAAACCGCGCACCTTTTCGTACCGTCGTCCTCTTCCTGAGCGGGCCCCCCGAACTTGGTCCCCAGCCTCTTGATAATGCTGTTTATGTGTGGGCTGTAGAGTTGCTTTCTCAACTTGTTGAGCGCGTGCTTCTGTTCCTCGGGGCTCAGCCTCGATTCTTCATCGTCCGTAGATGCTCGGTTGTACGAAGGCACGTAGTAAGCCGGAGGAGAGCGGGCCACAGGATTCAGAGCTCCTTCGATTAGGAGTAGTGGGACCGGAGCTCGAGGGGGTGCTGCAGATGGCACGCTGCAGGTCACATAATTAAGGGTGATCTAACACATGTTGGATCAAACTATAAAAGCATGAACATTTGAGGTCTTAGTTATACCTGGCTAGCCCATAATTATTGCCTCTGGACGACCTCTCCTCAAATAACCACCATGGATCACTTGTGTGTCCTCTATCATTCTAAATACAAAACAAAATCAAGTAAGCAGAGAAGAGAAAAGTGATGATGGTCTTATGAGAAAAGAGCATATCAGCTTCAGACACAAAGGTCTATATACAAGTTAAGTATTATACGTACATATTTATAGCGAGAAACTAGTGAAGAAACTAACCGGTGGTCTTCCGGCTGGGATGAAATCCGGTAGATTAGTCGGAAGATAAATCCAGTAATCCTGTCCGGACTGCCAATTTTCCGGTGGTCGATAGCTATTACTCATGCTGCTGCCTACCAAAATGATTTCCTCAAAGATAAAGCAACTTTTGTACTATTATGAAAAGCCTTTATTGGGGCTTTCTTTGTTTCTCTTTTGTTATCTTCACAAGTTTTAAAGCTTTATTGGGACAATCTTGGTTTCTCTTGTGTTGTCTTGTAAGTTTTAACAACTGTAAATTGTATTCCTTGATAAGATGCCTTTGGCATTGATGTTGTCCTCCACGATCAAAATAAAAGATCCATTACCACAAGAGGAAGAAGGAATTTGATTCTAGCTACACAATATGGAGGGTGTACATAACACTCACATTGAGTGAGACCTACAAAAATAAAAAAATCGAGTAAATCTCACTCTATGTGAGTGTTATGTACATCTCTATGTATATTTATTATATACTTGTAACTTTTTTCATTCTTATTTTATAAAAGATGTGCACAATTTTGACGTCACGTTGAGGTATTAAAATTCTGTTTACTGTTTTTGGTGAGGTATTAAAGTTCTGTTCACTGTTTTTCTGTTTTTCCAAGAGCCCCTTTCTAGTTTTTATTATATAACTGGAGCCACCAAAGTTAAGAGCCTTACTGCAAATGCTATGAAATTTTTTAAAACCGGAAAGTGTTTGCTGGGCAGACTTCGTTACTATTTTAAATCAAAAATCACAACAAAACTACAAATCCCAAAATGGTGACCAAGTAAACATCGGGATAATCACATAATAACTTTAAGAAAAGAAACCGACCCTTCGGCTCATAATCACAACATGCCTTCTTGATTAGAGTTCCAACCAGACGAGAACTGCCCTTTTCCGGCTAAAAAAAGGGGCCAAACATGACATTCATCAGTACAATTTCAACCGCATATGTCCCAACACAGTGAACAATCACAGCAACAGAGCATTAGTCAAAGACTGCAACAAAGCGTTCAATTTATTTACATATTGAAGTCAATTATTGGACTTATAAATCCGAACACTTTATTTACACCATCAGACGAAAATCAGTCGACACAAATCGCACCACAACCCCCAGTGCTTACTTCTTGCTCCTTTGCGGAAATTTTCCAAATTCCCCCTCCCAGAAAATAAAAGAATAACTCCCAACCTGGGAAGAGAAAAGCAACATCAAAAGTTATTGTCCACATATGTCATTTAACTTTAATAAAAGACTAACAGCAAGCAAACGATATTCAGGAACACACTACCAAGGGTGTATAAACTTCTCCTACAACAAACTCAATGTGTAAAGATCATTATAAAGGGAACGAAGCAAATTCGACTATTTCAGATACAGGCCCCTTCGGAGTTCTACCAAAGGTCCACTCGGTTTTCAGTTTACAAATGCCTAAATGTCAACATTTTTCACAAATGAGCATTTACAGTTTAACTAGGCCAAACTAAATCTTCAAACAAATCGCTCCCAAAAAAATATAGATATATATAAATATAAATATATATATATATATATATATATATAGTCTCCAACCAAGAGAGTCTACCTTTAGTCAGACTTTGTCACTCTCTCCAAAATGATTCTCCATGCCCAGGCCATCTCTATTATTTACAAAACTAACTTGGCCCCCAACCGTAAAACTGTCGTTAGTATTTACAGTCTTAAGCTCAGTGTTCGCTATTGGGAGAGTATCATTAGTATCTACAACGGCCGCGTTGGTTTCGAAGAACCATCCATTTTGCCCATTTTCATCATTGTCCATTTCATTCTCGATGAGGCCACCATTGGCTACCGAGTCAAGAGAGCCACCATCAGATACATCAGACCCCAGAGGCTGAAATTTCCCACTGTTGTCGTCATTTATGACTGAAAACCTGAACGCCAAGAAAGTAAG